GGTTTGGTTGGTTTCCACCATAACAGTGATAGAGCCACGCGGCAGCTGTAGCTGTTGCACGTATGGACAGCTCTGCATCCGCGTTTCGTCTGGTAAGTGCCAGAGACCCAATCCCCCCCCCCTCCCATTAACATGGTAGCGGAATTAAATGTAAGACTACCGTAGGAGGGTACCAGCACCCTAGGAGAATCCGTCGCTGAGCATCCACGACCAAGGTACTCCACTCCTGAACGTGGGTACTCAAGCTGCCTCGCGTATTCTAGGGGAGGAGGGGTAAAATTCCGCTCAAGACAATAACTGCTCGAGGCAAGCTGTGCAACAAGACCACAGGGACCCCTGCCACGCTATCCGTATTAATTTATTTAATTGGTGCCACGTGGACTAATTAACCAGTTGTGTCAGACCATATGCCAAGTCAAAATTATGAATAGATCTCCCCGTATGATCGGTTAAACGTGAACCAAGCCATTCGGCGTGAAGGGCGTTAAACTCGCCGAGGATCACGATGTCTGCGGAGGGTATCTCTTCTATAAAAAACGCGCTCCTGTAAAATAGCATCATGATATAAGCAGGACTGCTACCTAGCCTTGGAAGGAGCATCAAAGTCCCGGAATGTAAACGCTAGCGCCCTAAAAAAGAAGTATAATTCCGCCTCCAGGTCCTTAAAAAGAGTAATTGCCAAGGCAAAGTCAGAGTACATAGACAGAATTGCCTAGAAACTAGATCGCCTTTCTTTTGGAACCCGTGCATTCTGGTCTCACGCCAAGACTGTCCAATGGAATTTCTGTTAGCTATCTCCTTCATCTCTGCACAGGAAGGACGACTCACTGGCCTATGCCGCAAAGGAGAAAGTTGATCTGCTAGGCTCTTTCTTTGCGTCCAACTCGACTTTTGATGACGGGGTGAGCACACCGCCGACCTTCCCGCGGTGTGAGTGCTCCGTGCTGGATGTGCGGTTCACACAGCGCTCGATTCCCTGGACATAATAATAATAATAATAATAATAATTCATTTATTGCATTACTGTGTACAAGTTGAAGATGTCATATTATTAAAGGTATCAACAGTTGCCTCATCAGGCGTGCAATAGATTTACAATTTTCATAAACATAATATATATACTATTTACATTTAACAGATTACATTTAACAGGTTACATTTTGCAATTTACATTTAACAGATGACAAAGATAAAATATTTAAAAAAAATGCTTATAGATATAAGTATAATAAAGAACACGATATTAACTCTTAAAATTATAGAATTCATTTAGCGTATAAAACGTATGTTCCACCAACTAGTTTTTTAGATTATGTTTGAATTTGGGTCCTTTTATTGTTTTAATACTATTGGGTAAGTGATTAAATACTTTAATTGCTGTTATGTATGCACTTTTGTCAAACAATTTATTTTTAATTTGAGGTAGATATAAATTGTTTTCGTAGCAAGGGCGTAGATTTTGCCGTTTTGAAAGTTTCGTTTCGAATAAATCGCAATTATTTGTAATAAATAGGCACAACTCTAAGATATATATTCCAGTTAAAGTTAAAAAACGTTTTTCTTTAAATAAATTCCTCAGGCTGTCTCTATTTGTTTTACGGTATATGACGCGTAAACATCGTTTCTGTAGTATAAACGTTTCATTTATGTTGGTTGAATTACCCCAAAAAATTATACCATAGATTAACAATGGATAAATGTAACCATAGTACGCATTTCTACTAACAGATTCAGAGGTTGACCAAGAAAGTATTGAAAGAACATAGCAATAACTCGATATCTTTTTGTTAATCTTTTCTATGTGTGATTTCCAATTTAGGTGAGAGTCAATTTTAACTCCAAGAAAGCTAGTATAGAGGAAGTAGATAATATTATCTACTTCCTCTATGACTGAGCCATCAAATGATATTTTTAAATGGATTGGTTCGGTCTTGTAATTTCTAATTTGAAGAATTTTAGTTTTAGTTACATTAATTGTTAGGTTTACAGATTTTAACCAGGACACTATGTCTTTTATGGACTTATTAATTTCACTTTCAAGTTCTGAACTATTTATTAGCTTACTAGTATAAAAGACTGTAGCATCATCAGCAAACATTATTGTTAAATGCTTTGTGATTTTAAATATCTCGTTGATATATATTAAAAATAAAGAAGGACCGAGTATACTTCCTTGAGGTACACCAATGTTGACTTTTTTTATATTTTGACTTAATTGTTTCAATAGTTGTAGTATTACTATTATACGTATTCAAAATAGTTGCCTGATATCGATCTTCAAGGTACGATTTAAATAATTTTAGAGCAATTCCGCGAATGCCAATGTTTTCCAATTGTTTCAGTAAAATTTCATGATTAACACAATCAAATGCTTTCGTCATATCTAAGAAAAGGGCAAAACATGGATTTTTTTTCGTTTATGTCATCCCAAATATGTTTCCATTATTTTAAATATAGCTAATGACGTGTTTTTACCTTTTTTGAAATCCATATTGATTAGGATTTAAAATTTTATTTACATTAATGAAATTCATGACTTTATTATAAATAACTTTTTTCAAAGATTTTGGAAAAGCTTGGTAGTAGTGCTATGGGTCTGTAATTATTTGGGTCTTGCTTCGGTCCTTTTTTGTAAACAGGCTTTATAATAGCAATTTTTAGGTCATTTGGAAATGTACCCGTTTCTAACATTAGATTTATGATATAAATTATTGGTTCTGAAATATGCTTTAAAGATTGTTTTATTAAATACATTGATATATGATCGTAGCCAAAAGATTTTTTCGGTTTTATTTGTTTAACTATTTTATGACATCATTTATGTTGATCGGTGATAAGAAAATACTGTTGCAATTAAATGAATTATTTAAAGTTTTATAAAATCCAACATTAGAATTTTGATAATTACGTGTAAGAAATAAGTTATTAAAAATTTCTACCATTTCATGTGGCTCACTGACTATCAACCCATTAACTTTTATATTTTTTATGGTGTTTTCTATTGAATTGGTGTTATTTTTTATCAAGTTCCATGTAGCTTTTGTTTTATTAACACTAGATTGTATATATTTTATATTAGACCTCCTTTTCGATTCAACTATTACCGCTTTCATTATTCTACAATATTCCCTATATTTACTTGTCTTAGCAAAATATTTATTTTTTAACGTTTTTAGATATAGTTTCCTTTTGTTTCTACTGGATATTTTTATTCCTTCCGTAAGCCAATTAAGTTTATTTTTTTGTATAATTTTAATCCTCTTAAGGGGAAAACTTAGGGTAAAGATCAAGTTAAATGTATTAAAGAATGATTTATATGCCAAGTTTACATCTTTTTCATAAACTCCTCTGAATCCAATTTGGGATAAGTACTTTAGAAATATCGGTAGATTGGAATCTATATTTCTGTTATAAATGAACCAGTGTTTTTTCCCAAAGTTATATCTACATGCAATACTAATTAATTGCGCAGTATGGTCTGATAATCCCAAATTAAGTACTTGAGATTCATACTTATTAGCATTTGTTATTATGTTGTCTATACAAGTTGCAGAATAAGCCGTAATTCTAGTTGGCTCTTGTATAGTAAGATGTAGATTGTATTTCCTTAGAGTTGTAATAAAGATACTTCTTCTTTTGCTATTAGCTAACGTGTCTATATTAAAATCTCCTAATAATATTAATCTATTTTTATTGTTACGTAGACGTACCGTTAGTTTAGCAAGTAAAATTTCAAGTTTTTCGATAAATATGTTAAAATCGCTGTTAGGGGTTCTATATATACATACAACAATCAGATTTAATTCACTAATAATACCACAACTTTCAAAATGATTATCAATTGACAGTTGCTTTAAGTAATCTATATTTTTGGAAATCTATATTACTCCTTGTGTAAATGCAAACACCTCCTCTAAATTTCGATTTTCTTGCATAAATAGCCATCATTTTATACATGGGTATAACTTGTAAAAGTTCTTTTCTTCTTCTCTTAAAAACGTTTCCGTAAAACAAAGTATATCTAATGTTCTTTCTTTCGTTAAAATTTCAATATTGCTTAATTTAGATTTTAAACTTTGTATATTAATATGTAAAATATTCAGAACGTTCTTATTAGTGAAAAAACTGGTTGTTAGTAGTTACGTTATTGCTAATTTTTTTATTGATTGGTTTAAAATAGAACGGAATTGTCCCTTTCCTATAATTTGAGACACTGTTAATAACACTATTATTTTCAGCAGATTTTGTTATTTTATTCATATTGACGTTGCGATTCATTTTGGAAAAGTAGAATGGAATGGTCCCTGGCTTATAAGCACTTTTATTTTTACAATTTGTCTGTGATATATTTCTATTATATATAAAATATTTTGTATAGTCTATTGAATCTATTTTTTTATTAATTTCATAAAACATTTTAAATTTAGACTTTGTGCTAAACATATTATTATTTGCCTTATATGGTATATCAATAAATGAGCAATTTGAATAATATAAACTAAGTGAATTTAACAAACGATTGAATTTATGTTCATTTAGATATGGATTGCGAATTGTATTCGTGATCAATATCTTCTGTTCTCTATGATGTTTTAGAAAAGAATATAGTTCAGCAAATGTTTTGTAGGGATTAACATCATTAGCGCCAACTGAAATAATTATCCAATCATCTGCACCCATTTGAACTTCATTTTGTAGTGGTTTTTTTTAAAATAACATCCGTAGGAGTGTCAGGATATGTAAATGCCGATATATTATATTGACGGGGGTTTTTATACCTTGACCGAATTTTCATTAAAGCTGAAGCCATTCCTAAAGCTTGCTGGTCACCAACAATAAGAATTAGATTTTTGTCTTTGACTTTAGTTTTAATAGTTACAGTTTTTTCTTTTGATTCTAAAGAACATTCATTCTTCTCTTGGACAGTATGATCAGAACTGGGTTTTTCAGAACGAACTGTTTTAAATATTGAATTTTGGTTAATACTAGAGTTGTCTTCTTTAGGCTCTTTTTTGCAGAATTTGGAAATAGCGCCGTGTTTGAGTGGACTGTCGAGTAGTTTCTTGTAAACACTTTCTTTTTTTCTGGTACTGTTCTAGGGTTTTTCTTAAATTTGTATTTTCTAAGTTTAACTCCATAATTTCATTATGTGCACTGGTCAGTTGCAGAGTTAATTGATCGATTTCATTTTTAAGATCAATAATTTGTGAATTTTCTAGTAGGGTAGTATTAGGTAAACTTCTTGGAGATGTTTCCGGCATTAATTCTATATTACTACTATCCGAATCGGAATGCAATATATTCCTTAAAGATGAATTTCTTTTCTCAAGTTTATTTCTAACAGTTATGTTTACTTTACTTGATTCCCCCATACTCGTATTATCATGTTTTAAAGGTGTGTTTTTGATCGAGTTTTTTATTATCGGGACTTCAGTTGACGATGTGTCACTTAAATTACCTTTCTGTTTACTCCCCTTATTCTCAATGCATAAAATACTTTATCCCTTGCTTTCGGTTGTCATTAAGTAATATCGCTTTGATGAAACATTCGTGCAGTCAATGTCATAGTACATGTAACATATAGAGCAGTTTAAAAATTCTTTTCCTTTAATTATTTGTTGGCATTTAGCACAACGCAATGCGGTTATTTTTCGTTTAGTTGCCATTTCGTTTGAAGTTTGCAATGTCTTAAATAATCTTACAAAAATAATGTTCAAAATTAAACAAACGTGTAAACAAAAATAACAAAAAAAGTTAAATAATTTAAGATTAAAAATTATAAATAAAAACTACTTCAACATTAAAAATTACTAAAACTATGTCTAATAAAAATTAAAAAGAAAAGCTATAAATAAACGGATATCGCTGGTTTTGAACTCAGGTTTCTAACATTCATACGACAGTCATACGTAACACTCCATTACACCAATCTAGCACCATACTTTTTAGTCAAAATAACAGCCTGTTCATTAGACTTTCTTGAACGTTTGAAATCAATTTAGTAACACCGTCTTTACAATTTTATTTCAATTAACACATCACTAATTAATTATACACAAAGTTATACACAAAGTTGCACATAAACAAGACGAGTGGGTCTGATGAATCCCCCAATTGTGCTGAGAACGTGTGCTCCAGAATTGGCACCGCCTCTAACGCGTCTTTTCCGGTACTCCTCCCTAGGCGTAGCCTCGAAGTTATGGGAGATGGCTTTCGTCCACCCGATCCCCAAAAAAGATGACCGCTCAGATTCGTTTCTACAAGCCCATCGCCATCACCTCCTTGTTCTCCAAAATAATGGAATCCATTATAAACTGCTAGCTCATGCAGTACTTTGAGGATCACATTCATCAGCTGCTTAGTGACCGCCAATACGGTTTTCGTCGGGGTCGATTAGCTGGTGACTTTCTGGTCTACCTGACTCATAGATGGGCGGAGGCAGTATAGTCCAAGGGGGAGGCACATGTTGCACCATATTTTTTCCAGACGGTACAAAAGCTCATCCAGTATATATCAAGAATATCTATTTGTGTAACACTTCGTCTAACCCTGCCGATGTTATCGCTTTAGTATTACATTAGATACAAGTAGAACAAGTGAGTGGTACATGTCAACGGTCAAAGTCGAGGCCACGTGTTTTCCCCAACAATTGACCACTAAGTGGCAATTGTACATTAAGTACTTGCAAATTAATTTTGTTCTCATGACTATAATTATTAAATTCAATATTATTATATATGAACTATAATCATATAAAATATATTCATTAATTTACAAGGATTCGTGCCGTAGCTTGAAAAGAAAATCAATATATATCCTTTAAAAACCTCTTAGTTATTTTATTCGGAAGTGGAGCTGTGTAATTCACATTAATTCGCTATTTCATTAATTCCCTACAGCTTATCAGAAGCCCACTGCTGAACATAGGTCCCTCTGATATGGGAAATGTTTACTATACTTATAGTTCATAAAAGATAGCTTGATCTCTGCAACAGCTGTCAGTAAAAATCACGCCTATGGGAGTCCTGAATTTCTTAGTAGTACAGACAGTACCTGTCAATGTCCTTGGTATGCCGACCTAATTAGTGCATGCCCATAAAGTATGACATTGACTGGTACTGTCTGTACTACTAAGAAATTCAGGACTTCATAGGCGTGATTTTTACTGACAGCTGTCGTAGAGATCAAGCTATCTTTTATGAACCATAGCACTTTTAGCAGGCTGGTTTTTAGTTGTTTATGGGAAGACACCATTGCCTGTCTGATTTTTTCCTCTGTCGCCTCTTACGACACTCAGGGTACGTTATGGGGTAGTGGATGTTCCTAAACCGCCACTACACGGTCCAATTCGTTTATACTAACATTCTATGAAATTATGTTATCGGTGAAATTCTTTGAATATAAAGATTAAGTCAAGAAGTTGCCTAAAGCCTTTTTCCATTTTATAATTTCGTTTAATTTTACTAGTATTTAAATATCTTATTCAGGGTTATTTTTCAAAACTTATTACCAATACACCGTTGTACATATTCTCTACCATAGATTGTTCCAACACACTGTCGTGAGCCACCATTTTTGGAATGAGAATAACGTGCAAAAACCTCGTGGTAAGTGAATGTTGTAGCTCATAGACACCTACATATTATATATCCTTGATTAATAATCAAAATAGTTTCCAGGTCATAACACTCACCATACGAAACACAGCATCATTAAGCCGCTATTTTGCGAGGTTGTGGTTCTTGCCCGATCGAGCTGAACAATTCGTATCGCCAAGCTATAATATAGCTACACCGTGGCTCTAATACGAGGGGTGATCCAAAAGTAATGATAATCGGTTACTTCAGGTCCGCATAAAAATCCAAAAAAAATTTTTTTGCTTGCTTATATACTCACTACGTCAGCCTAAAAAAATCATATAAATAGATCACGATTTCCTGGAGATACATTCATTTGAATACGAACTGTCAAAGAGATAACATCAACATGGAGAAAAACGAAATTATAGCTGTCATCAAGTACCTCTGTTTGAAAAAATTGTCTTCAAAAGACATACACAGTGACTTAGTGGAAACATTAAGGGACTCTGCTCCTCCATATTCTACAGTTGCACGCTGGGTCAAGTAGTTTAAACTGGGCAGAACATCCACTGAAGATGAACATCGCGAAGGACGCCCGTCCACGTCCCTCACTGAAGACAGACAACGTGAAAAAAGTTGAAGATGTTGTGTTGGCAGATCGAAGAGTAACCATCATGCATGTAGCTGAGGTCACAGAAGGCAAGAATGGCAGCGTTCAAAGAATCTTTGCGAACGAGTTGCATATGAGAAAGGTCTCTGCGCGTTGGGTACCCGGTTAACATTCTTAACCGACGAGCAAAAGAAAAATCGAGTTGACATTTCGAGGGTCAATCTCGAAAAGTTCCAAGCATATCAAGAAAAATTTTTGTTCCGTTTTGTGACTATGGACGAGACCTGGATCCACCACTGAAACGAAACAACAATCGATGACTTGAAAGCGAGCCTCCTCACCGACGCCAAAGAAATTCAAAGTTTCAAAGTTTCGGCGGGAAAGGTTATGGCATCTGTTTTTTGGGACGCTCAAGGCATAATTATGGTGGAATATTTGGAAAAGGGAACCACTATTACGGGCTTTTACTACGCAGACCAAATAAGAAGATTACGGGAGGCCATTAAGGAAAAAAGACGCGCAAACTGCGAGCTGGAGTGCTGTTTCACCAAGACAACGCACCGGCTCACAAAGCCGCAGTTGCGATGGCTACCATTCAAGAAACGGTATTCGAACTGCTCGAACACCCTCCCTATTCGCCAGATCTAGCTCCTAGTGACTTCTACCTCTTTCCTCGGCTGAAGGAACGCCTCCGAGGCAAGAAATTCGAAGACGATAGCGAAGTAATGGCCGCTGTTGAAGCGTTTTGGGAGGGTCAAGACAAAGAATTTTTTTCAAAGGGAATCCTGGGCTTAGAAAAAAGATGGACTAAATGTATTTATTTGTTAGGAGACTATGTAGAAAAATAAATTATTATTAACTTTAATTACCGTGTTTTATTTTCATTATCATTAGTTTTGGATCACCCCTCGTACTTTTAAAAACCTGCATTACTAACTTCTTTGATGCTTTATTTGGATCACTCCATTGTGTTAGGGTTCGCTCTGCGCTTTCCAGTACGAGGCTGCCACACGAGAATCTTTCTTTTTGCTATCAGTTCAAACTATTAGTTTATTTCTCTATATTATATACCTTCACGCAAAGAAACTGATTGTCCTATTCGTAGCATACTGAGGAATTTTAAGTTTCGTCACTGGATCAGGCAATATGCAATTGTTGTACAACTATTTTAATATTCTAAGGTATATGATGAGGTATATGAATAAGATGAGATGTGTCGCATGTTTTCCCTACTATCAACAATTATAATATAATATGGTTTAATTACTTCTAAAAAACATTTTACTATCACATTTATATATTTTTCAAAATAACAGCCAACATCTCTTACACCTGAAATACTAAAGTATACGGAACCGCCTCCCGCATCAACTGTACCCCACGCCAACATCTTGACCCGACGATCATATGACCCTGCCGTCCAAGTGCTCCCAATTCCCGACGTCTACACATTGCTCCTCTCCTCGCCATTGGCCGAGGAATTAATGACAATATTGCGTACTTATTCATTTGACCGTCTTCATACCATCAATTTAGCAATAGAGGTCCGCGCTCGTACAACTCACAACCGAGATATCATAGCCCAGTTTTCAAAAATACGTCATTATCTCGGAAGTCCATGATCAGGGTAACAGATCGTAAATTGGCATAAAATTTATTAACACATTTACACATAATTTCAAAATGGTGGATTAACGTGATGTTCCTTAAAGAAGGTGACGGACGAATCATGCCTGTGCTCAAGTGGATATTCGCCAATATGGCTTGAATGTATCTATACGCGATCATATTGGACATTTTAAAAGTAATATAGTGTATTGCAAGGGACTCACGTTTAAGGTGAGGAAGTATTTGTGTTTTTGTTTTATATGGGCTTGCGAATTTTATTTTTATTTGTGTATGAATTACTTATGGAGTTTGCCGTAAATTCGCCGTAAGGATTTTTTTCATGTATAAATATTTAAGTTTTAAGATGAAGATTTTATTCAAAATGCAACCATCGCATGACGGAAGGCGTGCTCTTTTTTTAACTGCATTTACAAAAATAGATTTTATATAGTATTCGGGTGACAAACGAGCGTGCAGTGCACCTGATGGTAAGTTTACATTTATCCTCGATTAAGAATCAAAATGCACATGCGTTATCACACCTAAGGACTACGATGGAATACATTGTTTTCAG